TCATTTTAGTTCCAAGGACGGGAAGGCAGGGGATGTTATGGCTCCCATCGATTGGGGCGGTTGATCTGGTGGGACTGCAAAAAAATAAAATAAAAAAAATAAAAGGCCTTCTCGGTGTTGGCACCTTCCCTGTGGAATGTCATTCTCCCCAAATATGGTTGGCCCCCACCATGGTTGTTTTTTGGAAGGCCCCTAAAAACATGGTTTTGTCAGTGGGCCCAAGAAGACAGAGCCAATCACGTGGTTGATTTGATTGTGTTGTTGCCATGGAGGGATGCGGCGGAATTATGAGATTTTATGTGGTGGATTTTTAAACGTTGTAGGCCAGGGAGTGACGCACAATCGCTTTCTTCTCTCCTAGGCAATTGCAGAAGAGGTGACAGAGGAACACCTGGCTGAAGGAAGGCTCTATCCACCTTTGAGCTCCATTCGAGACGTGTCCTTCAAAATTGCCGTTAAAGTAAGAGCTTTCGTGACGTTCCTGGTATGAGGGATTTAAGCAATGGTGAGCTGCAACCGGTTTAACAACTGGTTCTGTGAGCACGCACACGTGTGCGCAGCATTCAAAAAAACACCAATTTGAACCGCTACAGCTTACCTTCTAGGCCGGCCCTGGTAAGTAGAACAGCAATAATCCCCTTGTCAAGATTCCGGCACTTAACCCCATTTAAATCACGAGTCTCGAGCCAAAATTTCCAAAACTTCAAAAGGATTTATTGGGAGTTAAAAGGTCCAGCATTGTCTGGGTGTAGCCAACTCTGAGACACACAATTCATTGTCACTCTTGACCCTGGTTTTACCCCACCTCCTGGGTGTATCATATTCTCCAATGACACACAGAGTCAGCTATGTCCAGGCTAATGCTGGCATGTTAACTTCTAATAAATCCTTTGAAGTTTTGGGAGTGTGGCTCAAGGCTCATGATTTAATTGGGGGAACTGCTGGGAATCCTGACAGATAGCCAACTCTTGAGATGCGTAATTCACTGTCACCCTTGATCCTGCTTTTCCCCCCACCCCTTTCGGTGTATCATCCAACGGAACACCTCCATAGCCAAGAGTCATCAATCATGCTCTCCAATTAGATTTTTCCACAGCAGAAGCTTCAGTCATCTAATCAGTCTTTGAAGAAAATATGAATGACAGTTCTCGACTTATGACTGAAATGGAGCCTTCCCATGATGGTGGAAAGTCATGATAGTTATAAAATGAGCCAGTCACATGATAGACAATTTTATGACCCTTTTTTGCAGCGGCTGTTAAGCAAACACTGTGGTTGGATATTGGTTGCCACATCAGTTAAGCACCATCACCGTTGTTAAGCGAATCAATGCAGGTACTCCTCGACTTAAAACATTTCATTTAGTGACTGTTCCAAGATACAACGGCACTAAAAAAAGTGACTTATGGATGCTTTTTCACTCTTATGACCATGGCAGCATCCCCCGGGTCATTGGATTTATATTGCATGCTTGACAACTGATTCACATTTATGACGGTTGCAGTGTCCTAGAGTCCCCTTTTTTGACCTCCTGACAAGCAGAGTCAATGGGAAAATCCGATTCACTTAAAAATGGCATGACTTATTTAACGACTGCAGTGATTCACTTAACAAATGTGGCAAGAAAAGTCGCAACATGGGGCATAACTCACTTAACAAATTTCTCACTTAACAACATAAATTTGGGGCTCCATTTTGGTCGTAAGTTGAGGAGTACCTGTAGTTCACTTTGGGCACAGTTTTGCCAAAACCTGGAAGTATGTTTTCATGTCTATGGGATGCTGTAAATGGCCGTAGCAATAGCAGTAGCACTTAGACTTATATACCGCTTTATAGTGCTTTACAGCCCTCTCTAAGAGGTTTACAGAGTCAGCCTCTTGCCCCCAACAATCTGGGTCCTTATTTTACCCACCTTGGAAGGATGGAAGGCTGAGTCAACCTGGAGCCTGGTGAGATTCGAACTGCCAAATTGCAGGCAGTCAGCAGATGTAGCCTGCAGCACTGCATTCTAACCACTGCGCGGCCACATAAATGCAATCGCGTTGCCGAGCACCCGAAATTCAGTCACATGATCAAGGGGAGGCCACGGTTTTATTTTCACGCGCAGGACGTAAACAGCCCAAGATAGATTTGTCGTGACTTCAAATGGTCACTAAGTGACCAGTCGTGAGTTGAGGACTACCTGTAGTGGCATCCATAGAGCAAATCACAAAATGGCTACGTTGTCTGCAACACCCATCATAGCGTTGTTGGCTTTGGAGGTTGTCGGTTCTCTAGATTAGTGGTTCTCAACCCCAACAATATTGTCACAGGAGATCTGCGAAGACTTGAAGAAATACTATGATTCAAATCTTAAGTCTTGGTGGCCCCTGGCCATGGTCTGTGGGAAGTCCCCCCCCGCCCCAAAGAATGAAATGTTTTGAGGAATATTAAAAAGGCAGAATATTATATTTCCTCAAAGAGAGAAATAGAGAAACATGTTTTTTTAGAGGAACCCCCACTCTTTCTTAATGGCCGACAGCAGATGTCAACATTTAAGAGATAAAGAGCTTATTGAAAGAGGAAGACAAGTATCTAGATAGCTCTATTCATAAGCAAAGGAAATACTGCAGGCAGAAGTCTATTAAAGACAGGATACTTTGAAACTCCCTGCAGCAAAGTCTAAACAAAGGCAGAATGGTCAGATTAGAAGCAGCCCCTCACCCAGGATCCAAAACAGGACATTAAGCCGTAATAGGAATTCCCCAACACCCTTTCAGAACACAAACCCCTTCATTGCATCATCCTCTAGAGCAGTCCAAACTTCACCTCAGAGCTCAATTAAACAATAAACTGGAAGCTGACCAGATTAGCTCAGACAAACACCTAGGATTTGCATTTCCTCTTTTGCCTATAGAGCCAACTATGACCTCTACATAACCCCTACATGGCCCCATAGGAATCTGCCAACAGCCAATAGAATACGTGTTCTTGCACAGGAACAGGAAGCTCAAATGCAAAGCCCAAGAGAAGGTACAAAAACCCTCTACTCTCCACTCCATGTGATCAGGTGCACCAGAACCCATGTGCTTGGTGGTTCTGCTTCATCATTAAACCACCTTTCCAATCAGCCTCCATGTTTCCAGTGTCTTTCTTCCAGCTTGGAACTGAACCAGATGGATATTTCTTCCAACAAGTCCCTGGCCACAAAAGGTATTTAAAGAGGGTCTGTGGTGAAGAAAAAGTTGAGAACCACTGATCTAGATGGCATCTGGTTGGAACATATGCACCAAGACAAATTCCTTGTGTCACACTTGGCTAATAAAGAAATTCATTCATTCGTTCATTCATTCATTCATTCATTCATTCATTCATTCATTCATTCATTCATTCCAATGGCTTTGTCTAATGTTTTTCTTCTTCTTCTGTCTCTTGTTCATAGGTGGTTGACTATGCCTACAAACACAACTTGGCCTCCTGGTATCCAGAACCAGAGGACAAAGAAGCATTTGTGAAAAACCTCATTTACAGCCCTGACTATGACTCCTTTGTTATCGATAGTTACCAGTGGCCGCAGGAAGCCATGAAGACTCAAAATATTTGATGTTTCTCTTTTGAGAAGGCAGGCAAGAGAAACCTTCAAGCAGCCGTGAACCTTAAGATGCTACGGTGTCTTGAACTTCAAGCCTGTAGGCTCTTCAGTTATAAAATTGATAGAAGATATATATATCTGAGCCAGAAACCATACAAAGTAAAACAAGGACCAATTATTATGGCACCGGCGCCCAATGAACGATGTGATTACATGAAATTTAGAAGTTTCCCATACTCTTGAGTCTCCTTTCCTGACCTTCTCTAATCCGGACCTTTCCCAATGTATCAGAACTTCAGCTCCCAAAATTCCGTATCGCCATTGGTCTCTTCCAGGCTGGATTAGGAATTTCTGCAGAGTTCATAGAAAATGCTTTTGCCAGATGACTTCATATCTATTAAGCTGGTGTAATTGCTACAGCCTTTCTTAGTAAAGGTTACCGTTCGTGGGTTTAGGACAGGGGTCTTCAAACTTGACAGCTTTAAGACTTGTGTACTTCAACTCCCAGATTTCCTCCTCCCGTCATGTTAGCTCAGGAATTCTGGGAGTTGAAGTCCACAAGTCTTAAACTTGCCAAGTTTGAAGAGCCTTGGTTTAGGAGAATGTAACAGTTTGATGAAGGGACACGGTGTCTCAGTGGTTAAGATGTTGAGCTTGTCGATCAGAAAGGTCGACAGGTTGGCAGTTCGAATCCCTAGCCCCGCGTCACGGAGTGAGTTCTCGTTACTTGTCCCAGCTTCTGCCAACCTAGCAGTTCGAAAGCATGTAAAAATGCAAGTAGAAAAATAGGGACCACTTTGGTGGGAAGGTCACAGCGTTCCATGCGCCTTCGGTGTTTAGTCATGCCGGCCACATGACCACGGAGATGTCTTCGGATAGCGCTGGCTCTTCAGCTTTGTAATGGAGATGAGCACTGTCCCCTAGAGCTGGAAATGACTAGCATATATGTGCGAGGGGAACCTTTACCTTTACCTTTACCTTTAACTGTTTCATAATAACCATGAAACGGTTATTGGGCATACAGTTCAGAAGTGACTTCTTGCCCAAAGTTTCTGCATGGCTTCTTTCAATTTTAGCAACTATCCCCAGGGACCTGATCCTAACCCTGATCCTCATTAGAGATGTGGATGGTGGTATTTTAGCAGTTGCACAGAGTTCTCACTAACCCAATTTACTGAAAAAATTCCAGGTAACCGATATTTCTTTATCCAGCTTATATTATGTCTTATTACTATACAACAGTGAAAGTTCTACCAAACTCACTATGTTTTGGTTGGCAGTCTAGACTAACTCAAGAAGCACTCCAAGTGATGGTCACACAATAACGTATATCCATGGTTAATTAAGTCCTGGTTTATTCAAGTATCCCAAATTTGTAGGATGCATGATACGCTGAAAGATTATAATAGCCTAGGGTGGATTCATGCAACATATAAAAATAGGGTTGACTATTTCATGCTCCAGTGTTGAATGCAGGTAGTCCTCAACTTACAACGGCCATTGGGACCATCGTTTCTATCGCTGAAGCAAGGTCTCATAGTTTAGTTACAGCAACCCCTGGAGTCCTGGTGGCCTTTGTTAACTAAATCTCACAGTTGTTAGACAGGCAACTTCCTGCCAGTTTCTCACAAAGTCAGCAGGGAAGCTGGGAAGGAATTGCAAATCCTGGGCCAGCAAGCAGTTAAGAGGGTTGTGCTGAGTAGAGGGGTGGAAGGGATGTAGGAAGGATACATGGGTCAGGGAAACTTAACCCAGCAAGTTGCAACCCTCCCATTGACTTTCTGGGGAAGCCAGCAGGGGAGATTTCCAAATGGTGATCATACCATTGTGTCAATGTGGGATTCAAATTTTTTTACTACCGGTTCTGTGGGCATGGCTTGGTGGGCGTGGCATGGCTTGGTGGGTATGGTAGGGGAAGGATACTGTAAAATCTCATTCCCTCCCCACTCCTGGGCGAAGGATACTGCAAAATCCCCATTTCCTCCACACTCCACTACCCTGCTTTCCAGCTCGGTTCTCCTGTGCAGGGCAACCAAAGAAGAGCCAGCCGATCAGCTGGGACTCAGGAGGCAGAGAATAGATTGGGGGCGGGGCCAGTCAGAGGTGGGATTTGCCAGTTCTCCAAACTTCTCAAAATTTCCGCTACCGGTTCTCCAGAACTGGTCAGAACCTGCTTGCGTACCTGCTGGATTGTGTGCTCTGCAACCGGTTGTAAGTGCAAACTGGTTGCCAAGGGCCCAGATCACGATCATGTGACTGTGCAGATGCTGGAACAGCCAGAATTCTAAGGACCAATCGTAACCACCGTTCATTCAGCGCTGTTCAAACTTCAGACGGTTGCTGAATGAACGAACCAAGGTTGGGGACTATCTGTAGCTAACACAATTTTAAAAGGGGGCTTTGATTGTAGACCAGAGTTTCCCAACCTTGACAACTTTAAGATGTGTGGACTTCAATTCCCAGACTTTCCCAGCCATTAAGGCTGGCTGGGGAATTCTGGGAGATGAAGTCCACATATTTTAAAGTTATCGAGATTAGAAGAGATTGCTATAGATTATAGCTTTTTTCAGGCCTGTTCTATAGAAATAGCACTCAAATATCTGAAGGATTCCGGTTAGAGCTTAGGATAGAGTTAAGAGTAGGGATTTTAAGCTAGTCTTCAGATCTTCTCATTAAGGATCATCCAGTCATAAAGAAACGATAATGTAATCTTTCTAATAAAAGGTGAACTGCAATTTCAACCTTGAGCATCGAGAAAGAAAAGCAAAGTCTTGGTCCAAATTTCAATGTTCGTATTTTAATTTGGTGGCACCCATAGAATGTGGATTAGAGAATGTCCTGCAGAACTCCCATAACTGTGTCTTAAGCCGAAACCATCAGATGAACACTACTAGGCCTTGAAACAAAATTCATCTGTTAATTCATATGCCTCTCCATCAAACACAACCAAGAAATTGTAATCTCAGGGACTATTTTTTTCTCTTTCTTTCTTTCTTTCTTTCTTTCTCTTTCTTTCTTTCTTTCTTTCTTTCTTTCTTTCTTTCTTTCTTTCTTTCTTTCTTTCTTTCTTTCTTTC